ATTTGAAATTAATTTAGATTAAAAATCAGAGGGATGTTGTAATACATAAATAATTTCGCGTCAGCGCATTTCTCCTCCTTCCCTCAATTATGTAATGTTCTACAAATAAATAACTGCGAATACGTACATCCGCGATCAAGAACGGATATTTATCGTAAAATAAAGTAAATTATGTACAATAAGGATCCCTTTCTCTCCGTGCCGGTCCGTCTCCGCGACTCTCGATGTCTCGACGGTAATCTCGGAGCCTCGGGACATCGGCGATCCGCCGTCCCCGTGGTTCTTTGCGGTAGAAACGAGTGCCGGTGTTCGCCGCTGCTAAATGTCGAACGTGGTTTCTCGGTTCTCGAGTTGCCTCGAGACGCGCGCGAAAAGATTCCGACAGGTTTCCGCGTCGAGGAAAGCGATAACTGGCCGAGCGAGTCAGGCAGTGAAGTGCGAGCAAAAGTGCAAGCGAATGCAAGTGCTGTGTTTGTCTTACCTTTCGTCGCTCTCAGCTTTCGTGAAAGATAAGGAAAAAAGGGGGAAAGAACCAGGCACAGAACTGGCGACGCGTTTCCGAAAAATGATCTCACTTTCACCAACGCGATGGATTTCCAACCTCCCAACGCGATTAGTTATTCGAACCCGTTTGATCTTTATCAAAAGGAGAGAGGAACATTCGTGTGCGAGATTGATGAAATTCACCATCACTTTCACACCGTGATATTTCTGGCGTTTTTGCATTTGAAAACTGAAAGAACAAGTTAGGTCGGGGAAGCACAAAAGAGTCGCGAGAAATAAACGAAGATAAGAGGGAACTCTACGCAAACGCATTAAAATTGAAATTAACAAAGTTGAATTTTACACAGCGCGACCTAGTGTGCGCGTATTCACTCGCCGCAGTCCCGACAAGTGCATTCGGCAAAGGTTAAGGCGTTTTCACAACCGCCTGTATACAACAAGGCGAGGATCTTTTGTTCGACTGGCGGTCGAATGGCGTTAACGAGCCGGTCTTGCTCGCCGGCGCTAAATTGCAGTTTCCTCGCAATCTTCGCCCTCCGTTATCCCGGAAGATAACGCCTCTCGCATTCGCAGTCTCGTTGTTACGCGAGATACAAATTCCGCCCTAATCCCACTCTTCCTCTTCCCTCCCCGCTACTTCGTCCTAATTTTATTCGCGTGATAAGGGCGCGATAAGGAATTTCGGACAATTCTTTCTCGCGGTCAAACACTTTTACGATTCGCTTTCTTCCCAGTTAACAGACGATAATTTATTCCGCGGTTACTTTGTTAATTGAATTGTTTACGCGTTTTTATTCGTAATGCAAGCATGATGACGTCGGTGTACTTTGCAACGGTATGCCTGTCAAGTACCATTTTACTTTCATATATTCTTTTATCGTTATTTCCCGTCAGAGACGCTCGGGAATAAAACACGAACTCACACGCACGGGTTACATCGAACGTAAATATATATAATATATGAATAGGTTTATCAACGGGATATCCGCTTCTTCCTTTTTCTTCATACGACGTCGACGTTTCATTCCCTTTTTTACGATTTTTTGCCGACAATCTGCCTCTCTTTTACTGCTGCGTAAAATAGCGCGTGCCGCTGGCAGGCTCGTTATGCCCGTTGAAAATTGCGCTCTCCGAGGTTACCGTTTTTTTCTCTTCCCCCCCCCCCCCTTTTTTTTGCCTACGTCGTCGTATATACGAAACAAATTCCGCGTGAGATTCAATAAGCGCGAAAGAGCCGGGTTAAAGAGAGAAAGGGGAAGAGAGAGAGAGAAGGCTGAAGAAAATTTCGCGGAGTCGCAATTCTCCGCGTAATCGAATTTCCCTTAAAAATCGCGCCAGTGGAAAAGAGCGCTTCAATGCCTCTGTTTTTGCAGGATTTGTTTTCATTTTTAGGAACATTCACCGTGTCGATGAGATTTGTTTTTTCCCCTCGTGATTTTACGAGGTGTTATCGCACATACTGGAAGTTTATGTGGCATTCATTTTTTCCAGACAGAACAGATCGAGACACACAGATTAAGATGAATAAGAGTAAATTTAAATAATCGAGTAATCGAGACATCGCTCGACTAACTAGAGCAAAAGGTCGTGTGTACGAGCGAACTGTCGATTCCGAGATTAAATCCCATTTATTTAACAACGGGCGAAGTACGAAGTCCGCCCATCTATCGCGCTCGCGCATATCTTATTCATGATTTTATACTTGGCATTTTGCATCGCGGAGAAATGCATCACATCGCGTCCGCCTGCGATCGAAATATCGTTTTCGGCGGCCGATTTATGCAGTGAACTGCATCATTTATCGGGTCGTCGCATGCGAAATGTATGTCGCTTTTGTATCAGCGATTTTTCGGGGGTAATTTCCGAAGGAGGGGGATACATTAAAGAAGTCTGTGGCTGAGAATTCAACCACGAAGGTACCGCCACGCGTTTCTAAATTTGACGGGAACTTGACATGTACGACTCTTGACGGCTCGCTAAAATTACAACCTTCCATTCGATTTTGTCGCCGCTTCGGATCGTGAGATGTAAAGTCGCTCGTCCCTGCGAGCCTCTTGTCTTGGATTTCGTAAGACATTTAATGTGTGTAACGATCCGGTCGGTATCGATAGAGCTCCTGGAGAACCTACGGCGGCATACCGATAAAAGGATTCGCGCGTAGAAGCGCGACATTACGGGCTCTTTATCGCTCGCTCGCTCGCTCGCACCGGGTCAAGGTGCGCTCTTTAAGGGGGTGGCAGGTCGGAGGAAGGTCGGAGGGAGGTCGGGGGTAGTGAATGCAAGGGGGTGGATATCAAGTGTGAAATAGAGTGACGGTAATGGGGTGCTTCGTGTTGCGAGAGTGGCCATTACAGTTATCGCGAGAGTCGTGTCATAAAGGCGACGGGAACGACGGTGTAGGAGGCTTTTATATATAGATATATACGTATATATATCTCTACACACGGGAGTGTGTTTTATATATTATGTACACAGAGCACAAATGGCACCGTATCGAAGCGAAGCTGCATAATTCAGTGTCCCTATATCAGTCCATTTTGCTTCTGCGAGAAGGAAAACCGAGATCGCGCGCGCGCGTATTCGCTATTGCTTGCCGCGTGTGTTTATGTGTGTGTATGAGCTTTCTTTTTCTCTCTTCTCTGAAATACATACTGCCAAGATAATGCAAATTACTTTGAAGTGTGACAATACTAAGCGAACTAACGTGCATCGACCGAGGCATAATAGTTCTAACATGTCGTGTAACTAGGTTATTAAAACTTTTTTCATTGGACGCAATATTGACTTATTATTTATTGATTATTTGAAGAAGCGGGAACAATGTATTCAAGGGAGTATATCTGTCACGGTGACAGCCGTTACGTTAATAACCAGAAACAAAAATGTGTATACGGTTGAAGAAAATGCCAGCGACTTTATTGTACTGATTGCATTAAGGCTGTTAATGCCAGTTTGTTTACTGAAGTATAAAAAACACAGGAAGGTGTATGCTTGTGTAAAAGAAGCTTTGTAGTATACGGCGCAATTTTCGTTTTCCGAAGACGTTCCTCTCGAAAGCTTAGAGCTCTCCTTGGTATTCCGAGCCGGGATTCTGTAACATAATTGCTAATTAATTGGCCGCTAATGAGAGGCTCGTAGAGTAATTTCGAGAACGCAGTCATGCGTCCACCGGCCGCGCAGCTTTGACTGGACGCTCTGCGCGTCCGTTTTCTTCCGCCAAGAGAAACGTCAAATGGGAAACACATCTCCGTAGTGCACGCACAGTACATCCACACACACACACACGTATACAGTCGTCTTTATTATCGGTGGCGGGACGCGCGGAATTTCAATGAACGCCTTGAATTTCCCGTGGACGCAACATGCAGCCGCGCCATCGACTTACAACGAGCGTGTGCCCGCCTTCTTGCGTTACACGATGTAAGTGCCCATTCGGATCGCCAATTCCGATCGCGATTTCTGATCTCACGGTCAGCATAACTTCCAGACCGGAGTCACTTCCGAGATGCCGAAGATACCACTCTCGTTTCTCCAAATAACCGTACGATTTTTTTTCTTACGTAAAGCCAATTCTTCCCGCCGTATCTCGCGTGCATACACGTTACGTTTATATAAGCAACTAGACACCGTCCACCTTGTTTAAAGGTACATATATCTTTAATTTCTTTTGTAACAAGCACGTGGTAGGAAATTGATTACGTTGCTCTACACTATCGACTTTATTTTGTTTCCGTTTCTGCCTTTTTTCCCATTGAGACACATCATTCTCTTCTCGGTCGTATTACCAATTTACGGAATACCCCGTGTGTGCGCGTTCTAATGTAAAAATACACATTTATTACACGACAGTTGCATCACGCCATATGCACACTTATCCAATTTCACACGCTATAACGTGATTTCACACGCTATAACGCGATATAAATGTCAAAGTGAACGAACGCGCGTGTGTGCGATGTGTGTACGCGCGCGCGTTACGATAACGGTATATAACACGGTGGAAAAACGCGGCGGACGGCGCCGTATAAAAATAACGTTGGCTCTCGTTATCGACTTGAATTACACGCGAAACAGCCAGCGGTGCGCCGCGATGCTACGCATTAACTCTCGTAATGCGACGCGATGCGTCCGATTAAATACCGAAGGAGAGCGTCGTTGCACCGCGAAGCTTCAGCGCATCGTGCGTAAATTTGTGTAATTACATACCTATCACATGCACCGCGTGCGATGTGATTATTTTTCGATTTCCCGTTCCTCTCTCTTTCGAGCGATTCGTGAATTGAAAAGTTCAATTTAGAAAGACGCATTAATATATCATTTTTTAAATATTTCTTACACAATTGGATATTATATATATGTATCCCGCGACAGAGATCCGCGAGTGGAGATGTTGCGTAAACAGATTTAATTTTAGGACCGTTGCGTCACCTTGACGAGGTAACACAACAATAATACAATTCCACGTTACGTTCGAGACATTTTTCTCTGTGTTTCAGACGACGCCGGTCGTCAGGCTGAATCGCTCGAGGTCTGATCGGGACACTCGACCGACTTCAGCGGAGCGGTAAATTCCTTCTTCCGGATCTTCCGCGAATATTCGACACGACGGCGAGAAGCGAGAGTGTATCGACAGTGTATTATCGAGTGAACCGTCCGCGAGCACGTTCGTCCAAAACGCTAACTTTTAGGCGTCGAGACGCCGTATCGTCCCTCGCGATTCCGAGCTCTGGCCGACGGGAGATGTTCCGAAAGTGTAGACCCCGGCAACGCGAAGAAAGCGACTTCCGGCCGCCCGACATCCACAGATAGCGCGCACGATCGCGGTAGAGGATCGAGATCGGGGTGCGAAGGATCCAGATTCAAAGACGAGGATAATGACGGAGAAGAGTCGAGCGACCTCGAGCGAAGATTCATAGACGAATCCCTATCGAACGGGGTGGATGATCGTTCGAGGGCTATTGGCAGATTTAGGAAAGCGGAATCCTTCCTCAAGAAGCTACTGAGGGAGAATGTCAGTGAGAGGTGCGACAAGTTGCTGAGAGGCATCCGAGAGAGCCATTCGCCGAAGAGTATCCATAGTTTGAGCCCAAGGTCCGTACTCGATAGTCCAGGGTCTAGGAAGAGGGATGTTAAGGATAGCCCTTTGTCACTGAAGAAGGGTATTCGAGAGAGCCTGTTATTAGATAATAAGAGTGATCAGCAGAGTTCGATATCAGAGGAAAAAGAAGAAGGAGAAAAAGGAAGAGGAGGGGGAGGAAAGCAAAAAGATACCAGGATAAATTTAAGGGAAGATATTCAGGGGAGTCCTTCGTCACCGGAGAAGAGTAACGGAGAAAGTACGTTAGTTGAAAGAAGCTCACCGGAGAAGAGTGATCGAGCGAGCGCGTTGTCGCCAGATAGTAGCGATCAACGGCGTCTGTCGTCGGAAAAAGCGGGAGTCAGCGCGAAGAAGGATATTCAGGAGAATTCGCCGTTGCTGAAGCAGAATGATCGAGCGAGCTCATTATTATCGGGGAAGAATAATACTTCGATTGGCCAACTAATGCGATTGACGGGAAATGCTACTCAGGAGAAAGCAAAGTTCTTGCCGAAGGGTATCCTCGAAGAGAGAAGCTTCTTGGTAAAGAAAGATTTTGAGGGAACTTCGGAAGCTTGCCTCTTAGTTCGGAAGGCAGACATTCCGCAACTGGCGGAAAAGACCGTTCAGGACAATCCGCCATCGACGAAGGACCTTTGTTCCTCGACTATCATTGAAGAAACGGGAGATCGCGCGAAGCCCGTGGCGCCTTTGAGGCTGAAACGTACGACCGGGAGCAATCGACCGACAGATCGTGTTTCTTATGGATCGACGGTTGTTCACAGACGCCGTCTTTCATCGGAAAATTTGCAGTGGGCTCTTCACGGTCCTAAGAAAACGTTGCGGGAGCAACGCGATCGCAAACTGAAGCGGTCGCCACCGCCAGAAGAAGAAAAGAAGGGAGGGGAAGAGGAGAAGGAGGAGGAGGAAAAAGAGGAGGAAGACTGGCCAGGTCGGGGGTCAGCGGAGCCCGATAGCGGTGGGTCAACCGATAAACGCGATTCGAGATGCGGACTTGCGGTCTCGCAGAGACACGCGGTACCTCGTCAGTTGATCGTGAAACCACCCGAAGAGCAGATTACGATCTCTGAAAGGAGGAAGGCGAATATTCCCTCTCACGCACAGCAATTCGTAGATACTCCCGAAAAGGCGGAACTCGATTCTACCGTGAAGTCTATCGGAAGTGTATCGGAATGTTTGCTTAATCGCGCGCGTAACGAGAGAAGTCCTGGAGGAACCTTGAACTCAACCATCGAGGCGAATGATCCCGATAACACCCGGAAAGATTCAGTCATTGAGGTAGAAATTGTCGAGAGAAACTCGGAGAGGCCGGCCGTCAACGCAGAAGTCCCCGGGAAAATCTTGAACATCGTCGTCACGGACCTCGACTATTCGTCCGCTTTGAAGGTGCCCCGCGATCCTGAAGCTTCGAACAATCAACGAGTGAGACAGAAGGATCCGCCGAAGTCTTCCGCCGGTCGTAAAAATCATCGACCGGGCAATCCTGCGTGTCCGCCGTTCAAACGACCACAGTCCACGGACGGTGGCAGAATGAAGCTGAAAATGAGGCTGATTCGCATTCGCGACAAATTCGTGCTCGCGCTGAGCGCATTCGCCATCCTATTCACGCTGTTGCTCGTGATGGATCTGCAGATGGATCTGGGCTACAGCGGCCACCATTTGGTGGCGAGTCATGCGCGCGTCAAGCTGGGCGACCGGCCGGACGCCGACACGGTCTACAACAACTTCCGGCGAAAATTTCTTCAGCGGATGAACGGAAGTCGCGAACAGGCGGACGCGACGCCGGGTGTCGTCGAAAAATCCGGCAGGTCGGACACGACGCCACCGACATCGCCGTCGTCGTCGACTGCGAGGAAGCAGGACGAGTTTCCGGATCTGGTCAACCTGGTGGTGAACGGCTATGGGATAAACGTCGACGAGGGAGTAGCGAGGATCAGCGGCGAGGACCACGATTACAACCCGACGATCGGCGAGCTGCGGAAGGTGGTATCCAGGTGAGTGGATCTCTTTTTCGAGAGTGAAAATGCTTCGAACGAAAAAAACCAAAGGCATGCGCGAGCAAGACCATCGCCGATGGCGTGGAGAGATCGATATTTTTCTTTTTAAATTTCACCGCGTCGCACATTCATCTCTGAAAGTCTCAGGATTCGCGTGCGAACAGCCGAGAACACGGCAGAGTAGCGAGATCGCTCCGTTTGCTCTCGTTTCCCTTCTCCGATGTGAACGCGACTTTACGCGTTGCGCGGAACGTGCGAGTTGCCACACATGCACGAGTGCGTTTGCCGTTTGCAAACGCAATTATACCGATGACAGTCGGGACGAACGTACGTAATCTCGACGTGCGCGCGCGCGCGCACGTGTGTGGGCGTGTGTGTTGCTTGTCGCGTGTACACACCCTCGTATACAACGTGCAATGGCACACAAGCGCTGTTGGTACAGGTGCGCGATGTTCCATGCCGCCTTCATGGAATTACGTTTCGTTATAATCGCGCGCCGAAGAACGCTCACAAAGCCCGTCGCGTCGGGTCCATTCGATTTGTTGTTCCGCGCGAAATGCGCTGGCACAATTCTCACTACACGCGTTTCTAACGATATTTTTGGGGCACGATCGAGCTGTCGAGAAGGTAGACCGAAATGGCAAGATTCTCTCTCTCTCTCTCTCTTGTTTGCTAAATTCCGCCAACTTTTCTCTTATTTGTCTATTTTACCCGCCATCTCTCTCGCTCCGTGCGATCGTTATCCTATATAGGTCACCATTTTTGGTCCATTGTTTTCTAATCATATTTTTGGAATACATCAGGAAAATTGAATTAAAAAGTGGGTAAAAAGTGTCTACTGAAGTTCTTTAACTCTTCTTTTAGCGAACTGGAATGTTCTTAATATTGCAATTTCCCGCAGTATTCGTGGACAGGAATATTTACGACTCTGTCGCTAAATTTATGAAAATGTTTTAAAGTAATTGAAAATTTAACACGAATAAGGTTTGAAAGTTTCCATTATTGATCATTCACAGGAAGTCAATGTGATCAAATTCAGTACTGTTTGATGAGACGATGATATGCCCGTCATTGTGAATTCTTTACAACTTTTCCTTTAACGACGAAATATTTTTCATATACAATAAAAAGTTTCGTGTTAAATTTAACACATTTCTTAACACAAGGTGAATATATTGAAAAGTAATACAAATATCATGTAAAAAATTAGCACAAAATTAATATCTATAACGTGTTAATCGACACTGAGAAAGAGAGAGGTATGAAATGTGTTATTTAATTTTACACATATTGAATATCGACTCAACACAAAATTTTGAGATAACATAAGCACAATATGTTAAATTAACATACGTGTATGTTAAAAATTTGACAGGAAAGTTTCAACAAGGACCGGTTTCAACACAAAATTTAGTACAAAATGCTTTTTACTGTTTACTCTACTAACGGACTTCGTACGATTTTGCCTGTCTACGACTCGAAATTACCGCTGTATAAATGTCGCGATGCGGGAGGGTCGTTTCAGTTTCCGATGCATCGGGAGCGTGATTACGCGACGATGGCGGAAGTACGATGATTACAGTTGCAGCGGCGCCGCCCTATTTCCGCGATGATGCGCGCGTACGATTATTGAAGACAGCCAGTGAAGTCGCATGTTCGGCGAAACTCGTGGAAGGAGAATGCACCGAAAAAAAAAATAGAGGTTAAATCCGCAAAAATAACGATCGTTATTGAATTGCATCGATCGCACGTGGTTTCAACATGTGTTTCAACACGTTCTCTTTGGAAATCTTTAACGATATTCTGACCGCTGAGAAAAAGTCAATGCAAAATTGACAGAGGGAGAGAGAGAGAGATGCGCCATTAATATTTTCGCACGTTTATTTCGAGATATCATATCGTCGCAGTATTGCGTTACCGTGCGGCGAAACCGTGGATCGCGCTGGAACAACGCTGGATTACGAAGAGAGGAAATGCGTCATCAGCATGTGTCCACTCGTCGCGTGTTGTGTTAGAGCGTGTCACCTTGCGGTCGATTCCCGGAATGCAGCTTGTGCAACATATTCGCCGGCGATGACATATTCCGCAAAAATCTCTGCGAATTTAATATGTGCAATTAAATTCATAAACTAATTAATATTTAAGTCGCGTCGCGGAATTTGTCGATGTCGCCATTAAAATTCGCGGAACGTTAACATCGCTTATTTGCGTTTGTGCATTTGTTTGTCGTCCTGCCGGTTGTGATTATTTGCAAACCCGCATCGCGATTTGATGATGTCTAATTAATTAATCAATTATCGAACGTTGGCCATCGATATGTTGTCGGATTGTCAGAGCTCGGTAATTTATAAACTTCGCGATTTATAACGCGATTTTATTTCTATCTCCTACGTGTTTCGTAATTCACTTCCAATCTGTGATTTGGAAAATTCAGTTTGCAACTTCGTACAATCTTGCATTTATAAATGTATATTTCTTAAAAGCATCAATCTCCTTTTGACTTCAACGAATAATAATTTTCCNACAACATGGAAATATTATGCTGCGTACGACCTGCGTTTATAAAAAAATGTTGTAAACCGTTTCTTTATTCTTTTTCTTGAACTTGAAAACAAATCATTAAGTTGGAACATTAATAATATCGCTGCTTTAATTAGACACTGAATTGTTTTAAATTGACTAAATGAGGAAATACATTGTCAATCTAAATTTTATCACCACGTTAGAAATTCGTTTGATGTCCCGGAAACGATAAAGATACTATTCATACATTTTTTTAACATTTAATAATAACATTTATTGTCGCGATATCGCACTGTATCCGTAAAGTAGAGGTTTTGAAAAACAAAAAAGATTTGCGTTAAGTAAAACGCAAAGGTGTCTCGCGTAGAATATTCGAGATATATTTGATAAAATGTGACGAGCAAGCGCGTTACACTTTTCCTTGTTTCGTAACAATTAAATGGACCTTACCGCTTATATATCCCGTTTGGCGCGACGGTGGACGACGAGGGCAGGGCAGGTGCGAAATAGCAACAGCGGAAGAATGCCTACCTGTTGCATCGTCGCATCGAGATAACGATCGAAAATTCGCAGAGACACACAACGTAACATCGCGATACTGCAATCTTGATTCCCATGTAAAAAAGAAACATCAGAATCCTATCGTGAAAATTACACCAAGTCTGTATAAATCTCGCTAAAAATCGAACAAAAATTAGGTCAATTCGCACCGGTGCGCGACATTGGAATTCTCATAAAAATTCAATCGTGTGGACGATATTTAATTATAAAGGCGACGTAAAGAAGTATAAAATTAGCAAATAAGTGTCTAACGAAGAAGAATAACGGGGAGAAAAAAAACAAGGAGCCGTGTAGAGAGACTGGCGCGTTATCTGGAAATCTCACTTCACGGACCACTGCTGCGCGTTTTGCATTTTAATTAGCTCCAATTATCTTTCAGACGAACAAAAACAACGCTATAAAACCGCCGGGAGGCGAGAGGCGAGATGGACGATTTCTCTCACTTTTCTGGGTATCGGTATTGTGTTTCGCTCGATCGAGATTGCTTCCGATTTCACAGAGCCGGTGTTGTGCCAACGAGAGAGCGTGGGATTTTTTCGCCGCCACCCGTTAGACGCGATGCACTGCGCGATCTGAATTTCCGAGGTGGATAGCTTATCCATTCTCTCTTTCTCTCCTTTTTTCTTCGTCTCAAATATTTGTCTCCCGTCTTTCTCTCCGCCCTTATCTTTCCTACCCTTTTTACGATAAAATGCCGGCCTATTGACGACGTTTCAAAGCCCTGAAAAAGCCGAGGCGCACACTCTTTACGCGGTAAATTACGACGTGGATGAGCCCAAAGGCATCATTACGTCCTGTGAGTCATAGGATGGCATTTCTGTAACGTTAAACCTCACGGCGACGTTAATCCTTTCATTTCGATGAGGATAAAGAGAGTGGAGAATATCGGGGCGGAATATTGAAAAACTCGCGCGTGTGCGTCGTGATAAAGTACGAAACAATGCGATTATATTCGGAGTAACGGATTTCCGTTGTTTCCTCGATCTGTACATTTCGGTTGCTCGCAAATAGTAAGGAAAAGATTAAATTATGAGAGAAGTATCGAGGGAGTTGATTTATTTTATTAAATTTTCGTTCGGTTTCGCCTCGTAACTTAAATTCGAATTTCCTTCACGCCAATTCAACGGTAAAACAAACTGAAAAGAAGCTCCTGGCCGATCAACCGTGAAGTATAACACTTCCTATCGCCCGTGTCCATGTGTTTGACGTATTTCACGCTACGCTCGTTCCGTCGCAATTCTAACGAGAACGCGATCATAAAAGCCGGTCTCCTCGGCGTTACATCCGCTCTAATCGCGCGCGACATTAACGATATTATCTGATAAAAAATAAATCGAAAGCGATGCGCGCTCTTCGCGCTTTGATACATCGTAAAACCACACCGGAATTTTTTATTTTAATTTCCTGTGTTATTAACGTTTATCGGTGACCACTGTAAAAGCGCTGAGTCGTGAAGAAAGAGCTTGTTTGGCGATGCGTAACGATCGCAACAATCTTCGGAAAGGTTGTTAAATCTGTATTGAAATTCTCGCGGAGTTGTTAAGTTTCTATTAAGATTCTGATAATTATTGAATTGTTTAATATCTATTTTAAACACAAATGCAACTTGATTAAACTTTTTTTTTATATTTTGACATATTTCTGTCTATTTACATATATATCATTTAATTTTTATGAAAGTTTTAAATTTGTCCTGTGATACGCAAGAGACGGGACTCGATCTAATTTTCATCCGATTTTCATTAGGATTTATTCTAACTTAGTTTTTACAGGAATTCCAATTTTTACCAGAATTCGATTAATCGGAGCACATCACTTAATCCGATTTCTGCTGCATCGTTAAATTTCTATCGAGATTATCGTTAACCCGTTACTTTCGCTTCATGTTAGAGCACGTTCGGCTTATTCTCATT